TGTCAGGGCAGGCGGCACAGACACGGCCCTGCCACGGCCACACACAGCAGCTCCTCACTCCTGCAGCACTGCCAGCGCTTCGAGCCCCGCTCATCCTCACATTAGCTCAGGTCACTGGGAGACACTGTCAAAGCAAGGCCTGGATCTGTCTGTCCCCTCCCTACACCAGGCACGCATTCCTACGGGCTGTCATGCCTTCCTTTAAACCAAACCTGACTCTGTCTGGCAGCCACGGGCTGGGGAAGTGGTGACTGTGCTCCCTCTATCACCCTGCTCCCCCAGGATTGATCCAGCCCTTCCCACTCCACCCCAGCCACCGTTTGGAGCTTGCTTCACATCTGCTTTCATTCAGTTCACACCAAACCATCACAAGTGGATTATTCCCCGTTTCTCAGCTGTGTCTGCCTAGATGGAGGTGTCACAGCTTCCAACACATCCAATCCTCCCAGCTCCAAGCAATTAGCTCTGGCACAGCCCACCATGGAAACCAGCATGAGCCTCAGCGCCCTCGGTGAGGGGGAGCTCAGGAGATGAGGGCTCCTCAGAGCTCACAGCCAGCATGAGGTTCCTGGCTGGATTCAGAGGCTCAGTGATTGCCTGTGCAGGCCAGTGTTACCTTTCCTCTTGGCCTGAGCCAGGACATCTGCAGCCCCCCTGCTCATGATCTTGGTGACATAGAGGGGGCAGTTGGCCTGCCTGGCGATGGTGATGGCACGGAACACGGCCTCTGCCTCCACCTGCGGGCACAAGAACACGACACGGGTGTCCCACAAGAACANACGGCCGGGGCAGCGCCTCCAGCTGTGCCGGGAGACTGGGCTGGGTACAGGAATGCTCCTCCATGGAGAGGGCACAGCTGCCCTGGCACAGCTGCCCTGGCACAGCTGCCCAGCCCAGGGAGAATGATGGTCTTCAAAGAACTTTCAGCCTTGGACACCTCCAGGGATGGGGCATCTGCACCTTCTCTGGGTCCCATTCCCACCCTGCAGGGAGCTGGCACATCCCCATCCCGCCCTCCAGGCACCCCAGACACCCTGAGGCACACCAGAGTTGGGGCTCCTGCCTCTGCAGGTAATTTGGGTTACTGGTTCCTGCTCTGCCTTTCTGTAGGATGCAGAATTACAGTGTCTGCAATAGCACAGGGACAAGGGAAGGAGGACAAAGCTGTCAAGAAGCTCTTTACATATTTGCATCTCTTTGTGTCTCTTTAAACAGCTGTGCCAGCACATGGGAGCATTTATGTTACTGTATTCCAGCACCTATGGGATGTACATCCCTTACCCTCCAAAGGCTGCAGAATACAGCAACAGAAACCTCTCTAGCACAGGTAAGAGAGGAATTCCTCCCTCTACATCAATACAAAGGAGTCATATTTTTGCTTTGTAACATTGTAATAGGCTAATAAAACTGTCATTTTTAGCTCTAATACTAAGAATTCTTGACTGACATCCAGGCAGTTACACACAGAAAGAAACAGCATTGATAATACTCCTGCTGCTGTTGCAGGTTTGCCAGCACAGCGGCCCCAATACACTACAGCTGAGAGATTGTGATCAAAACAAGGGATTATGGCAAATAAAACTCTCCTTACCCTGTTTCTCGCCTTTATCCTTTTATAAACGAAGTCAGGGAAGGTCTTCCTAGGGATGAAGCGACCTGAGCCCTGGGTGACACACAGGTTTCCATCTTCAAGCACAACTCTTCCCTGACTTATCACCAAGGTTGGGACCCCGTGGCACTCAGTGCCTTCAAATATGTTGTACTCCACGTTCTGGAAAAAGAAAACCCTGATATTCAGTGCCTGCAGGATTGAAGAGGAGGCCAACAATGCCCCCCATTTTTGTACACTGCTCCTCGTGCACCATCAGTCAGAACTAACTAACCCCCCATATTTCAAATAACAAGATTCCAACGGGAAGCAAACTGGAATGGAGAAAATAAACCTTAAAACCAATCATATTAAACTACAACAACAGTTTACTACTTTTATTAAAATATATTTATATTACTATATTTTTAATATATTATTTATGGAATATTTAAATATTGTATTAATATTTAATACCATTAATACCATTATATATAAAATATAATTAATACCATTATATATAAAGATTAATACCATTATATATAAAACTATAGCAATAGTTTAATATGTATTAAACTGCAACTAATACACATTGCAGTTCAGCACTAGTTCAGTACTTCAGTTCAGCGCTTACATTTTTCTAGTCCACAGCAAATACACTGAGCTTAAGATTTCCTTACCAGATGTCAGCTGTCTTGGAGTGGTCCCTCAGTACAAATCCCACCCTTACAGCAATAAAAGGATATTTTCCTACTATTTTTAATAGCAAATGCATGGTCCTTCATCAGTGTACCCACACAGAGATTTCCTCCTGTGCTGCATGATCTGATCTAGCTAGGGACATACATTGCTTTCCACATCTCTTCAGACTGTAAAACCATCCCCAGAAAATGACTGAAACTGTATTTTACCGAGTGGTGGGTTTTTGCTGAGATGATTTTCGTAGCCTTGGGGTTCCAGAGCACCAGGTCAGCGTCGGAGCCCACAGCCACGCGCCCCTTCCTGGGGTAGCAGTTGAAGATCTTGGCAGCGTTGGTGCTGGTCACTGCCACAAAATCGTTCTCATCCATCTTCCCGGGGACCTGGGGAGGGGAACATCCCAGGGGAACAAGGGCTGGGGGCAGAAGAGCAGGAACCATCCCAGGGGAACAAGGGCTGGGGGCAGGCCCCTCCCCAGAGCTGTGCCCTGGCAGGAGCTGTTGCCCCCACCCCTGTGCCCATGGGGGTGAGGGTCTGCTCTGCCACAGGGCTGTGGTTACAGGGGAGGGGGATGTGAGGATGAGCACTGTCCCTGTGGGATAAGGGATATGATAGAGAGGTTTTATTTTCCTTGGACTCCAAAGGTTGAAGTCTCCGAAAAGCAAGACCTACACTGGCTGCACAGGCATCTCAGGATCACTGAGGAGGGCTGAGGTCAGCCCAGTGAAGAAAGACTGGAAGTGAACCCAACCCATGCTATTTCTTTACCATCTTCACTGGTCACCTTAAGAGAAGTTCTATTTCTGTTTGAACAAAGCCCATCTCAGAGAGGTTTCAGGGTGGCTTGGCTCCCAAGCTCCTGCAGGCTGCACAGGGACATTGCTCTGTGGGATGGAGCATTGCTCCCCAGGGATGGTGCCAGCAGGGATGTGAGCACTAGGTGCGGGGACACAGACTGAACCCACCCTGGGATCACAGCCCTGCTGCCAGGCACACAGGGGTGACAGGAGCCTGCTGGGGCCTGGGGTCTCCTGGCAGCTGGAAGCATGGCCAGTCACATCCCATGGGAGAGACACCCCCCATCCACCCCTCAGGGACAGGAGCACCTCACCACCGTCGGGACAATGTGCTGCAGAGACTCCCTGGGGACTGAGCAGGAGCGGAGGGTGGTCCCTGCCCCGCAGCCTTTGAAGGCACCGTGCAGGCAGCCGTGTGTCTCAGCCTGTCGCTGGCAGCTCTCTGAAGCTGCAGCAGTGTCTAGACAGTGTCACTGCTGAGGCTCGTCTGCACTAGCAGGCAGTGACAGCCTGGGGCCAGGCACAGCACGTACCACGCACTTCTCCCACACGATGGCCATCCTCTCCTCCACGCCGTTGGTGCCCTCGGGGATCAGCGTGAAGTTGTCCTTGCCCACGGCCTTCTGCGCGGTGGTGAAGGTGCAGTGGGCACTGCCCGTGACATGCAGGTCCCCG